ATTCAGCCAAAACCGTCCGAATTATAAAGCACTGATAGCTCATCAAGACGCCTTCACAAATCAGACGCACTAATCCACGTTAGCTGTGCACGACATCTAAAAACAGGTCAATGAATCGACGCAGGTAGGACAGTTTTGCGGTAATCTGTCGACTCAAACGCATTGCTCAAATTTCAGTTTTTCTCTTCACTCTCTTTTCAGTCGCCTTTTACTCGAACACAGTCCGTTACACCCTCATAGAATGCTTAGTTGAAGTGGTGTGAAGGCATCAGTTTGTCTAACAATCGGATTGCAAAGGAGTCGTTTGGAATCGTCTGTTTTGTTCTCTAAAGACACTCGAAACCTGAAGCTGTTGTATAAAATTCGTCGCCTTGTCTATGGACAGGAGAATTGTCTATGCGCGTGAGGCTGGACCGACTCCAACGTAAGTGTATCTTGTCCAGGACCATAACCCAGACATTCCAAAGAAGTTTTGGAGGCACCAGATGCACGCTGCCGCACATGAATCAAAAGAACGGCGAGACCGATTACCAGTGGAAGAAGAATACCTGCTCAGAAAGTGACCAATAAAACGCCAATCGACCTAATTATTGCAAAACGATGATAGGAAAATGCAGAATTCAAGAAAGATGTACCTTATCAGAAAGCGTTATCTAGTTATTCCAAAGGAGATGTTTTGGATACATCGGATGCGAAGTGCCGCACAGAAATTAGCACAATGGAGAGTTTGATTACCAGATGAGGAGGAATTCCTACTCAGGAGCTGACCAATAATACGCCAAGCGACAAAACTGGCCTGTTCGCCACACGATGGATACACAACAAAATCTGTACGACTATTCATGAAACGACCACTTACCCAGAAGTTTGCTGAAAATTCTTCAGCAACCCACTACCGGTCTCCTCGTTCTGGGTTTCATTAGATACGCGTACAATGTGATTTTCAATTACAGCATAAATTTGATGGAAAATTACAGACGAATCAACGAAGCCGAATAGATGCGTTGTGACAGTTGAGTCACATGTTCCACAGATGTGTTTCTTAGGACTAACATACAAAAGCGTTTTGCACTAACATTCGTCCCGTGGTTGACTACAGCGGTCAACCCACAGACTGCGATGGAAGTTTTTGTGTTAAGTGTGGACAACAATATACAAACAATCCTAAACTACAAGGAACTGGATGCTGTTTACAGCGAGATGGCAAAAACTGCGTCGTCAGCCGCTAGTTGGTAAATAGTTCTGCTGACTGCAAGGTATATGCGATAGACAAACCAAGAACAATGGATTTCCCGTCCCGGCAACTTTCTGTGTTGTGACTCTATGTGATCATTAGTCAGCAGTGGGTCAGCGTTTCACGCCGGCAATTCGCTGGCACCCTAGGCGTACAAACAAAACAGCAGAGGCTGGACGTCCAGCCAACACCCAATCTCAGAGGGCAAACGGATTAGTTTGTTTACACACAGAAGTTAGGGATCGTTTGATACCGTTTTTCGCCACCAACTGGTGGCGCTCTTAAACTACACCTCGTTTTGGGAGTGTAAGAAAAGGAATGATACTGTTATATCAAACTGATTTTCCCGCTCCAGTGCCTGTTGCCAGAAAGAACTTACAGACAAGGGTGCACAACAGCTGTATACCGAACGATCGAGTGAGCGCGTGCGAGTGCAAAAGTTACTACAGCCCCGCGCAATTTGAAGAGCAGTAACTGTTAACGATCCAGGTCGTTTACTAGGTGTTTAGTGAACACCCGTCAACATCGATCGTGATTTTCTCAGATGCCTGAATGCTGGTCACATACGGTCGTGCTTCTACGGCGTGCATGAACACTCATCGGAATTTGCTAAATTGGTTGAATGGTTGACTGGTCTGGATGCTTCCCGGTTTTCCCATTCAAATTTCGCTAGTCAAGTCCGATAAACATTTATATGGCATATACTCGGGTAATTGAGACGAGGTGGACAAGAGAAAAAGAAAGAAAGCGTTCAGCTGTAGCACCCTTCCGGTGCCTAGCTGCCATGCCACCCGAAGGAAGCACGAGAGCTGGGATACTGCCGGGTTGCCCAAGCCTAGACAGGGGAAGTCGAGTGGCAGAGGTCGGATTCGAACCACGGACCTTCCGGTCAGTAAATTCGCGCTCTAACCACTTGGGCCGTCTCGCCCAAACGGAGCAGACAAGACGTGATGGGAGAAAATTCTGAAGCACATCTACCTACCGAATTCCTAGAGTACGATTAGGGCCAGGAGACGTTTAGCAAGAGCAGCAATATATACTTTGGAGTTGCATGAAAAATTGTGACTGAAAAATGATAGAACGTGACCATAATGAATGAAGTTTTCTGAATACAGTTCAGTTCAGTGCAGTTTACTTCAGTTCAGTTCAGTTCATTTCAGTTCAGTTCGGTTCAGGCTATCTGGCAGGACTGAACCCCCAGCCAGTCTTAACCGAGAAATCACGTCATATTGATTGATTTTTTTCGGAAGCGACACGGGACAGTCATGACGTAGGATCCATTTGTTCAACGCTGCTAAGGAGTGTATTAGAGCAACATTTCGCCAGCAAGTCTGGCTATAGTTACTGGTATTGTTATTCAAATCGCACAATTTTTTTTCGAATCTCGGGCTCAGTAGCCGGTCGACCTCCAGTGTGGCTCACTGACAATTTTCCCTATTCTTTAGTATGGTTGTCAATTCTGTTGGTATACGTTAGAGTGAATCTTGTATAAAAAGACTTCCTTGTTCTTTTGAAGGCATTCTTAGGCATTGGTCCAAACCTGTGTAGGACACGGATGACCCTCGGCCGTCGTACGCGTCGTGATTATATTGTTTGCATGCCCGGACAGAATTCACAGCTGATATTCTGTTATTTGTCTGCCTTCATGTTCCACAGGAAGCTCAGCAAACAGCTCATCTGATGGCGCTGTGCAAAGCCGGATACGAGGCCGAAACCCTCATCGAGTCTGTCCACAGCGTCTGCTCCTAACGGAGACGCAACATGTTGTGTGATTCTGCCAAAATAAAATGAATTGCAACTCGTCCGTATCGTGTTCTGCTTACGTAAGAAGACATCAGACATCATCAGACTAACGGTCAAGAAATTTTTGTATACCAACCGAAGAAATTCTGGTAAAACCGTCCGGATTCTCAGGTCTGGCGGACTTAGAAAGACGCCTCCAGAAACCTGAAGTACTATTGCGCGATGCATTCACAGGACGAATAATGATGGGCCGGTCGTTAAACGCAGTTAGGACAGTTATCGGGTCGTCTTTCGACTCAAACACTGCTGAAATTCCAATTTTTCTCTTGTTCACTCTAGCCGGACTAGAGGCGCGTAGTTTAACTCAGCCCTATCGACTTTGAGTAAGTCACATCTTCATCGGATGCTTATCTGAAGTCATCGGGACGGTGTCAGTTTGTCTCACAACGAGACGGGATTCCTCTGTTTGAATTCCTCTGTTTTTGCGATTGCCTTCTTACGACACTGGTAACCTGATATTGTATTGCTACTCATAAGTTCGCTGAGTACTCTTCAACAGCTACCTACCGGTCTCCCCTTTCGGGGTTTCATTAGATAGGCGTACAATTTGCTTTTCAATTATAACAAGGTTGATAGGAATTTGCAGACGAATAAATCAAAGACGAATCAACGCCACTGAGTAGATGCGGTGTGGCGGTTGATTTACACGTTCCACACATGTCTACCATTCGAACTCCGAACTCAGACGGCAATCTGAGTAGTTCGTTCACACATAGAATATAGCGATCATTTGATACAGGTTTTTGCCACCAACTGGTGGTACTGTTAAACTGCACTTCGTTTTGGGATTGGAAAATAGGAATGATACTTGTGAAGTGAAGAAGGTCTTCCCTGCGGAGTTATTTATTCGGAAATGCCAACTGACCGGTTACAGACCCTTGAACAGGGAAGTAAAAACTCTAATCTGCATTTTAGTTACAAAAACTGGACGGCAATCTTCTCCCGAACGAGTCTTCTTGAACTTTCCTGGAGATTAATTGACTCCACTCATTCGTCGGTCAAATCCAGGCAAATGTTACAAAGTGGCTCCACGAATTTCTCAACAGATTTTCTTTTTCAATAGACGCTAAGCGTAATTCTACGAACAACACATACTACTCGCGTGCCCCCTCATCAGTAGTATCACCGTTACACTGGTACATCAAAATGCTGTTCCCAAACCAGTGCCTAGTGCCATGGAGAACTTACCGTTGAGGCTACACAACAGCTGTACTCCGAAAAAACGAGTGAGTGCGTGCGTGTGCAAAATTTACAACGGCCCCGCGAAATCTAATAGGCATCATCTGATATTGATCCGGGCTGTCTACTAGGCGCTTACTGAACATTCATCAACATCGATCGTGCTTTTATGAGATGACCGTATGCTGGCCACATACGATCGTGCCTCTAAGGCGTACACGAACTTTCAGTGGGTTTTACGAAATTGATTGATGGTTTGACTGCCCTGGATGCTTGCCGGGTTTAATGGCCTCCGTAGGTTCCGGAAATTCGTTCGGAAAACTAACATTCCCGATTGACACAAATACCCTCGTTTGCACAATAACTTCACTTTAACACAACTGGGACACAACTGAACTCAGGTAAATCTCTCGAGTTTACTGGTTAGTTTCAACTAGACTGCGAGTTAAACGCATCTTAGAATTCTGTCCAATGATGAGTTCGTTCATCCCTCTCGGGGCGCAAATTATTCGCGGTGATGTCAGTGTCCCAAAGATAAATTACCTAAACAATACACCATCCGGGGAATGCCAGAACACCGTGTGCAGAAGTATGGTGGTTGGCTCAGTCGAAATGCCAGGGGTAAGCAAGATTTGAATTTGCCTTTTAAATCTTTAGGCTGTGGCGTCGTTGAAGACTTTCCTCACAGGCCTGGAGGAGGCAGCTCTGGAAGCGCCCAGAAGGGATCCTTGAAGGGAGGAGTTGTACGCCGCGGAGGCAGCACTTGCAGCAAGGGTCAACTCACTGGCGGACCGCCAGGAGACTATGAGGCGTTTCAAGATGTTTGGGATGGAACCTCGGTGTGACCCGAAAGTGTTCTTCACCAGCCAGCAGCAGTCGTTGAATCGGGCCTTGGCGAGAACGGACGGAATGTCGTGCGAGCAGTTGCTGCCTGACCAGTTCACTGAAGAGATACAGCCTGCGCTTCATGTACAGTTGCGGTTGGTGAGAGCAACAGGTCGGTTGAGTGAGGAGCACTTGGTGCATTTGGCACGCCCGTTACAGCTCCGGAGAGCCGGAATAAGTCGACAGTGGAAGACCTGGATTACAAAGCGGATTGAATCGTCGATTTGGTTGCAGCCATCATTTGTGAGGAGATCCAGTATTCTGGGTTGAATGGGCTTTCGTTGCGGAAGCTGGGTAGTCGATGGCAAGTTCCGACCACCGGGAAACACCTATACAATTCATGACGGTCAGGGATCGAAAAGATGAAATGCAACTCAGCTTCTAATGTGGTATGTTACACCCGAAGAGCTGTCTAACAGGCATGCAAGCGATTTTTAGGGGGAAACTTTTGTGTAATTGTGTGTAATAATTGTGTATAAATTGTGTGCAATAGTAATAATTTTGTATATAGCAGTCGCGGGACTTGAAGAATAATTTGGGTGAACTCAAAAAGCCTAACGATTTAAGGGTGATCGTACGGAACGGAGGATCCAGGTTTCAAACACAACTTCAGCATTTCGACAGGTTCTGCATAATCTTTCGCAAATTAGCAGTTTTTCTGCCCTCCTGATTCTTTTGGGCGGGATAGCAGCTAGGCACGGAATCGGTGTATGAGGTTAACGAACGTTGATTTTTACGGAAATACTTTCAACGAAGACCAGCTGAAGGACAAAATTTGAATGCATTTTGCTTAGTCCACCTGTCAATATAACAGGGTACCTGGTTAAATATCTTTTGTTTCCTTGTAAAATCAGTATCGCCATGTAATGTAAGTAATGTTGGTAAGCTACACTACTGATAGTAATGTAAAAAGTCCTTGGAAATCGCGTGCGTAGACTAAAGTTGGAGCGAATAAGCTTGCAGTCACAAAATCGGTAGAATGAATGGTCAAGCCAATCTGCAGAGTAACGGTTAGCTCTAATCGCTTTTCACGAATATTTAGGATTTCCATTTAAGTGAAAACATTCGAATGCCGTCACACTACCGACAGACTGTTAATGGTTCAGAAGGAACAACAACCCACACGACGGATGGATTTTGTAGGAAAACGTCTGTCATCAATCAGGTGGATCCCTTGCTTGAAGAGTGAGCGGCGTTATGTCCCAACTAAGTAAGGTTGACCCTCGTGGTCAAACAGTTTAATATTCCATCTACTAAGCGCTCCACCAATGATTCGCATTAAGGAACAGCTGTACATTGCTTCTCGCGTATTCGTCACAGACTGGCTTCTCATACAGAAATACGAAAACCTATTCAAACTTGTTGTCTTGTCAGCTGACGCGTTCCGCATGACGCTCTTTGTATTATCTACGTACCATGGGTGCCCATATACCGCTAGGTTCTGTGTTCATTTTGCGTTCGCTTGCTGAGCAAACGCGCGAATATGTGAAATGAGCAACTTTTCGGTGGCGGCCAGCACAAACCAGAACACTCGCAATGGATTGAGGCGGCATCCGTATCAAATCAACGGCGGCATCAATGAGCGTAGTAGCGAAGCTTCATATGGCGGCAAACCATGGGGTTCCACAAACGATCCTAACCGATCAGATGCCTTGCTATTTGAGCAAATATTTAAGGAGTTGCTTGCACATGCTGGGCATTAAACAGCTAAGGACGGTACTATAACACCCACACACATGGTCCAACCGAACGCAATAACCAAGCGATCAGGAGTGGCTGGCGGCCAAAGGAGCTGACTGGTGCCGACGGTGTTGCTAGCCCATTGTCCGATTTCGGTCAGCGGTATAATACAACCGAAGAGCTGCCAAACAGACCAGCTGCCGGGGCCGACCTAATGGAGGCACGTAGAAATGTGTGTTATGCGATGGATCTTTCAGAGCAAGTGTGAAACGGTGGGTACTAGGATGTATGAGTGCGAATAGCATGTGTTTTTCGGTGACTCTGCCTTGACCTAATGGAAATTATGAAATTTGTAGAATTGATTTGCAGCCTTGCGTGATAGTCGCTGAATTGGCAGGGAAGTTCAAGAAGATGCGTTCAAGAAGACGGTTTTTTTCTAAAAACAAGGTGCATGTAAAAGCTTTACCTTCTTGCCCTATAGTTCCAAGAAATTGGTCACTCGAGGATCCAGTCAACTCGTGACCAGGTGATGTGGTTTCCGTTATTTAGGGATGAGCGGCGTCATATCCTCTCTCAATGTGAGCTAATCACATCGCTGACTCGATGGTTAAGCGTTGAAACCACCAGCCGGCCAGTCACGGGTTCGGTTAAAAACTACCCAAAATTTCTTGAGATATGCACTGCTAATGATTTACAGGAAAGACGAAACAGCTTTACAGTGCATCTCAACTTTCTTGGCGTAGACTGCCTTTACATACAAGAAGAAACCTACCCAAGATTTTTCATACTGTTAACAACTGAGGACTGCATCTATCCCCAGTGTAGTTGCGGCCCTGACGAGCAGTTCAAACGCCCCATCTGAGAAGAGCTCGTTCTCAAAGCAAGGTCTCTGATCGGTTTGGATCATTTTGTTACCATGTTTGACCACAATGTGATGCAATACTACACTGCGGATTGTCATCGCCCGTTGGTTGACACGGCTTCCACCTAGACTCAATGCGATAGGTGTTCTGTCACTGATAAGATATTGATTTCCGCTGGCCGACACCGGTCCATGACGTCAACGGACCAAAACCCGCTAATGTCTGAGCAGGGGTGGTTGCCATAAAATGGGCTGCCCTTGTCGTATCCCCCTTAATTAGTTGGCAGTGCTGACAGGACACCATATAATCCATCATCTCGCTTCTCATCCCGAGCAAATGGGTCCTCTGCCGAAGTAAGTCGTACGTATTGGTGCAACCAGTGTGCACTATCTAGCCGCACCCGATCATCAGATTGCGTCACAAGGGGCCCGATATCATTGGAAGCGCAGCATCAAACTCACTAGCGTTCCAGGAAATAATGCCAGCTTTATCCAGACTCACCAGACTCTGGAGCGTTTATAATTCCCTGTTTCCCTTTCCGATCTCAATACTGCTTCCATCCAACGAGCCAGCCGCAACCACCCTTTACACAGGAACCTGCCTTTGAAATGACCCCAGCTGGTCCGACAACGAGGCTCTTGGCATCAATCATGATCCTGGGGGCCGATCTTCAGCCTCTGGTCTCGACAGCCAGTCAGTCAGTATCCCCACCCGCGGAAGTTGCGCTCTTGAGAAAATCCGCTATCAAAATTGTTTGCTCTATATCTGGGCTGATGAGGAACTCGTGCTGCATGGATCTGTCACCTAAGCGCGTTGAGTGTATTGACAATCCGTCGATCTTCAGTCGGTATCCACCCGTTGTTTCTCACGGCCGCACGCACGGGTTACTTTCAGCTCCCTTCTCTTTCCGTCTCAGCGAAACCCCTGCCCTTGTATCGATCAGCCACAGCTCCCACTTCATGTCTATTCCATCTACGACCTGTATGGTAGCCTGCGTCATTGGGGTGATCCCAACCCATCCTAGAGAAGGGAGTATTCCAAGGATTTTATATACGAGTGGTTGAGTAGTAGGACGTTGATTCTTGTAGTGTCAGTGCATGTCACACTTTTAACATCGGCCCATTTCAGCTTGCCACTCTCACCCGGAGTTGATGGCTGCAATCAGGTCGACGATTCGGTCCGTTTTGTACTAGTTGTTGATTCCTGTAGTGTCAGTGCATGTCAAACTTGTAAAATCGGCCCATTTCAGCTTGTCACTCTAACCCGGAGTTGATGGCTGCAATCCGGTCGACGATTCGGTCCGTTTTGTACTAGAGGACTTCCACTGTTGAATCATCCCGATTCTCCCGCGGCTGTAACGTGGCCAATGACACCTTGGTCGATTCGCGTGCCAAATGCACCAAGTGCTCCTCACTCAACCGACCTGTTGCTCTCACCAACCGCAACTGTACATGAAGCGCAGGCTGTATCTCTTCAGTGAACTGGTCAGGCAGCAACTGCTCGCACGACATTCCGTCCGTTCTCGGCAAGGCCCGATTCAACGACTGCTGCTGACTGGTGAAGAACACCTTCAATTCAAACCCAGGTTCCATCCAAGCCGCATTGAACCGCCTCATATCCCCCCAGCGGTTTCTCGTTATGTTGAGCCCCGCTGCAAGTGTTGCCTCCGCAGCGGCCAAGTCCTCCTTTCGAGTACACCTTCTGGAGGCATCTAGAGGCGCCTCCTCCAGGCCTCTGAGGAAAGTCTTCAGTGCCACCAAATTACCCTGGTCGGTTTCCAGTCCAGCCGCCTCCTCGAAATACTCCAGGAATTTTCGCACATACTCATTCTCAAAAGCCTGCGACCACGGGATCTTCATCCGTATCCTGGTCACGGTACCAAATGTAAGAAATAAATTTCCTGAATAAATTTCCAGTCGGCAACAACCAGATAAATATATCAGTTCCTCTGCTTCGTGATTTGACATAATGGTCAAGTGGTGGACGGTGATGTTGCAAATATGGTTACGAAGTAAGTGCGTGGTGTAAATCCTCTGGCAACGGGAGCTAACGGGTTGGTCGCTTCATATAGTTTTGCAACGCGTATTTTTTTTCTGAAGTCCAGATGCACCTTGGTACATTCTTCGCACTTCTCATGTTTGTGAGGGAGCAACAGCGTAGTTGTCAATGCAGGCCCTAAACCGATCGTCCCGAAAATCAGTCAGACTTTAGAGGTTCCACCCGATTCTTCCTCTGGGAAACTCGCCCGTTGGTGGTGCATAAAAAATATTGGTTATTAGAAGCGCCAGAATCATTGTAAAGTTGTCTGAGATAATGAAACGATGAAAGTGAAAAAGTACCAGAAATCTTCATAATGACCCTGACCACTCGATGGCGTTCGTTCTCAGATCAATTGTATCTCTCGAACCGGCCAACACATCTAACCCACCACGACATGCAGCGCAACAGAGCAGAGCGGAAAGGGTAAATTGAGGAAAGGTGACAAATATATGTCCCACTGCCTGAGTTAAAGACAACTTCATTTGGACAGCTTCCCGACCGGGCGTAAACGTACCGTCACCTACATCAGCGTCATTCGTTCCCGACAGCTAAGAGAAAGAGGAAAACAGAAAACCCTCGAGCTCTCCTTTTTTCTTCTAGCTCCTCCGGAGACAGGCGTGTTGCCGGCCACAACCCAAGTTCCTGGTCGACCGGAAGCCGCGGATGTCGACAGTACATCGGCGTAAGAGTGGGCTTGCCTGTGGTTGGCTGTATGGAAGCACGATGATCTAACAACATCATTGGCAAGTTCAATTTTCAATAACCCACGTTGACCGCCAACCACTCCCTGATCGTTCGGGCAGGCGATTTTATGGTGATCCTTCTGACCATTGTACATTTGTACTTTCTTTATAACTTATCATTACTCAAATTGTACCACTTTCTATCTCTCACTAAA